GCGCAGACACAAACGGTTGGGGCCCGCGCCCAGTCGGATTACCATTGTACCCCCGGGGGGTAGGCCTATATAAACCCCCCGGGACACCCATGCAAAGGGGGGGACCCTCAGCTAGTTTTAGATACCACACCAGGAGAAGAAGCAAGCTAGCCGTGCCCTTCTTCCTCCTCCCACCAAACAGCTCAAGGAACATCGTGTAGCTACTTGTCCATCTAGTGATCATGCGGAGACCCCGCAGAGCAGCAGTAGGGGTGTTATCTCCACGGAGAGCCCCGAAGCTGGGTAAGATTCGCCGGCGTGCATGTCTTCGCCTCATCCCGTTTCCAGGCACCGGCGACGTCTTACTGGCTCCCACAACGATAAGCCACCCGTTGGCATATGTCGCACCTACCACCCGACAACACACATCGTCACTTCACCCTTAACTAGTCTTGTTCATTCTGCAACTCCCATTTCGAGTTACTAATCTCAGCAACTGAACTAGTATCAAATACTGAGGGGTTGCTATAAACACTAGTAAAGTACACATCAATAACATGTATATCAAATATACTTTTGTTCACTTTGCCATCCTTCTTATCCGCCAAGTATCTAGGGCAGTTCCACTTCCAGTGAACATTTCCTTTGTAGTAGAAGCACTCAGTTCCAGGCTTGGGTCTAGATTTGGGCTTCTTCATGGGAGTAGCAACTTGCTTGCTATTCTTCTTTTAAGTTCCTCTTTCTTTCCCTTTGCCCTTTTCTTGAAACTAGTGGTCTTATTAACCATCAACTTTTGATGCTTTTCTTGATTTCTACCTTCGTCGATTTCAGCATCATGAAGAGCTCGGGAATTACTTTCGTTATCCCTTGCATATTATAGTTCATCACTAAGTTCTAGTAACTTGGTGATAATGACTAGAGAACTTTGTCAATTACTATCTTATCTGGAAGATTAACTCCCACTTGATTCAAGCAATTGTAGTACTCAGACATTCTGAGCACATGCTCACTAGCTGAGCTATTCTCCTCCATCTTGTAGGCAAAGTGCTTGTCAAAGGTCTCATACCTTTCGACATGGGCATGAGTCTGGAATACTAATTTCAACTCTTAGAACATCTCATATGCTCAGTGGCGTTCAAAACGTCTTTGAAGCCCTGATTCTAAGCCGTAAAGCATGGTGCACTAAACTATCAAGTAGTCATTATATCGAGCTAGCCAAACATTCATAACGTCTGTATCTGCTCCTGCAATCGGTCTATCACCTAGCGGTGCATCAAGGACATAATTCTTCTGTGCAGCAATGAGGATAATCCTCATATCACGGATCCAATCCACATCATTGCTACTAACATCTTTCAACTTAGTTTTTCTCTAGGAACATATCAAAATAAATGGGGAGCTACATCGCGAGCTATTTATCTACAACATAGTTATGTAAATACTATCAGGACTAAGTTCATGATAAATTAAAGTTCAATTAATCATATTTAAGAATTCCCACTTAGATAGACATCCCTCTAATCATCTAAGTGATCACGTGATCCAAATCAACTAAATCATGACCGATCATCATGTGAAATGGAGTAGTTTTCAATGGTGAACATCACTATGTTGATCATATCTACTATATGATTCACGCTCGACCTTTCGGTCTCAGTGTTCCGAGGCCATATCTGCATATCCTAGGCTCGTCAAGTTTAACCCGAGTATTTCTGCGTGTGCAAAACTGGCTTGCACCCGTTGTATGTGAATGTAGAGCTTATCACACCCGATCATCACGTGGTGTCTCGGCACGACGAACTTTGGCAACGGTGCATACTTAGGGAGAACACTTGCACCTTGAAATTTAGTGAGAGATCATCTTATAATGCTACCGTCAATCAAGCAGAATAAGATGCATAAAGGATAAACATCATATGCAATCAAAATATGTGACATGATATGGCCATGATCATCTTGCGCCTTTGATCTCCATCTCCAAAGTACCGTCATGATCTCTATCGTCACCGGCATGACACCATGATCTCCATCATCTTGATCTCTATCAATGTGTCGTCACATGGTTGTCTCGCCAACTATTGCTTTTGCAACTATTGCTATCGCATAGCGATAAAGTAAAGCAATTACATGGCACTTGCATCTCATGCAATAAAGAGACAACCATAAGGCTTTTGCCAGTTGCCAATAACTTTAACAAAACATGATCATCTCATACGACAATTTATATCTCATCACGTCTTGACCATATCACATCACAACATGCCCTGCAAAAGTAAGTTAGACGTCCTCTACTTTGTTGTTGCAAGTTTTATGTGGCTGCTACGGGCTGAGCAAGAACCGTTCTTACCTACGCATCAAAAGCCACAACGCGGTATAGTGATTGCTTTTTGATCTTCAGAAAGAACCCTGTTCATTGAATCCGATTCAACTAAAGCTGGAGAAACAGACACCCACTAGCCACCTGTGTGTGAAGCACGTCGGTAGAACCAGTCTCGCGTAAGCATACGCGTAATGTCGGTCTGGGCCGCTTCATCCAACAATGCCGCTGAATCAAGAATCAACTAGTGACGACAAGCAATATGTATATACTCACGCCCACAACTCCTTTGTGTTCTACTCGTGCATATAACATCTACGCATAAACCTGGCTCTGATGCCACTGTTGAGGAACGTAGTAATTTTAAAAAAAATCATACGCACACGCAAGATCATGGTGATGCATAGCAACGAGAGGGAAGAGTATCATCCACATACCCTCGTAGACCGTAAGTGGAAGCGTTATGAGAACGCGGTTGATGTAGTTGTACGTCTTCACGGTCCGACCGATCCAAGTACCGAACGCACGGCACCTCCAAGTTCAGCACACGTTCAGTTCGATGACGTCCCACGAACTCCGATCCAGCAGAGCTTCACAGGAGAGTTCCGTCAGCACGACGGTGTGATGACACCTCCAAGTTCAGCACACGTTCAGTTCGTTGACGTCCCATGAACTCCGATCCAGCAGAGCTTCACAGGAGAGTTCCGTCAACACGACGGTGTGATGACGGTGATGATGTTACTACCGACGCAGGGCTTCACCTAAGCACCGCTACGATATGATCGAGGTGGATTATGGTGGAGGGGGGGCACCGCACACGGCTTGGAACACTCAACTTGTATGTCTATGGGATGCCCCCTGGCCACGTATATAAAGGAGCAAGGGGAGGCGGCCGGCGGCCTCATAGGGTGCGCCCCAAGGGGGGAGTCCTACTCCTACTAGGATTAGGTTCCCCCTTTCCTAGTTCAACTAGGAGGGAAAGGAAAGAGGAGGAGAGGAGAATGAAAGAGGGGGTCGGCCCCCAAAGCCCTAAACCAATTCGGTTTGGGCCTACGGGGGTGCACGCCACACTTCCTTGCTGCCCTCTATTTCCACTAAAGCCCACGAAGGCCCATTGACCCTCCCGTTGAATTCCCGTAACTCTCTGGTACTCCGAAAAATACCCGAATCACTCGAAACCTTTCCGATGTCCGAATATAGTTGTCCAATATATCGATATTTACGTCTCGGCCATTTCGAGACTCCTCGTCATGTCCCCGGTCTCATCCGGGATTCCGAGCTACCTTCGGTACATCAAAACACATAAACTCATAATACCGATCATCACCGAACGTTAAGCGTGCAGACCCTACGGGTTCAAGAACTATGTAGACATGACCGAGACTCATCTCCGGTCAATAACCAATAGCGGAACCTGGATGCTCATATTGGTTCCTACATATTCAACGAAGATCTTTATCGGTCAAACCGCATAACAATATACATTGTTCCCTTTGTCATCGGTATGTTACTTGCCCGAGATTCGATCTTCGGTATCCTCATACCTAGTTCAATCTCATTACCGGCAAGTTTCTTTACTCGTCTCGTAATGCATCATCCCGCAACTAACTCATTAGTCACAATGCTTGCAAGGCTTATAGTGATGTGCATTACCGAGACGGCCCAGAGATACCTCTCCGTCAATCGGAGTGACAAATCCTAATCTCGATCTATGCCAACTCAACAAGCACCATCAGAGACACCTGTAGAGCACCTTTATAATCACCCAGTTACGTTGTGACGTTTGGTAGCACACAAAGTGTTCCTCCGGTACTCAGAAGTTGCATAATCTCATAGTCATAGGAACATGTATAAGTCATGAAGAAAGCAATAGCAACAAACTAAACGATCATTGTGCTAAGCTAACGGATGGGTCAAGTCAATCACATCATTCTCTAATGATGTGATGTGATCCCGTTAATCAAATGACAACTCATGTCTATGGTTAGGAAACATAACCATCATTGATTCAACGAGCTAGTCAAGTAGAGGCAAACTAGTGACACTCTGTTTGTCTATGTATTCACACATGTACTAAGTTTTTGGTTAATACAATTCTAGCATGAATAATAAACATTTATCATGATATAAGGAAATATAAATAACACCTTTATTATTGCCTCTATGGCATATTTCCTTCAAGTCGGCCCACTAGGCCAGCTCAGGACCCTCGGGCCGCTATACAACCTCGGTCTCTAGCTAGGTCTTTGGGCCCTCCAGAAGGAAAGAACCAATATCCTTGTCATGCAAGGCAAGGAGGCTGGATCATCATGGAAGCCTTCAAACTGCCCTAGATACGAAGTAGGACTATGTAACCCTAGCCCTTGACGCCCTTTATAAGTCATGTAGGGCTAGTAGATCGGCACATCAATCTTCACCCTTCGGTATACCTACGATCATTACGATCTCCCTTATTGTCCTTGTACCCTATCCAATCAATACAATAAGAGCACGAATAGGATTTTCCCTCAAGTGCGAGGGCGTGAACCTGGGTAATCTCGCTTCCTATTTTCCCTCTGGACTTTCCGGCTAGTCGCGGTATCCTACCAACAGGTCTGCCGGAATCTATACCAACACTTAGATTTGCCACCTCTGGTTTTCTTAAGTGAACCCTGCGACTATCAAATATGGAGGAGTACAGGATGTGTGTAGCAAGAAGATCAAGATGAAGAATGGCAGCCACCAACCAAGCCCTCTACACAAGGAAATTTATTGGGACATAAGTGAGGACTTCTTCGACTCCAGAAACCCTAGAAGCACAGATTACTCATCTGTAGATCTCTCATCTAGATCGTCCACGCCCACATTCGAGGAGTTGCCTTCTAACTCGCCGGACATGCCATTGTGCACCCCATTATCACTTGTCGATGATATAATCTCACATAAGCAAGAGCAGGGTTATTACTGGCCACACGAGGGCCCAAATCTTGCTAAAACTTGTGCCTCGTGTCCATCTGGTAATCTAAGGTGACGTCCCACCGCCGTTGAAATCCACGTACGTGCATCGTACCGCTGCAGATACATTTCGAAGCACCGTCGACAAAAGGTAGAGCTCGATGGATCTAAAAATTCCATCCCGCCCGCGTTTACAATGCCATGTAAAACAACCCCCAGCCTCTAAACATAAAAACCACAACCTAGTTTTTTAAAATTACATTCTTGACGCTTCAGGGGTAGAAGAGGTACAAGGAATCAGTTAGAGCGGTCCTGATTTTTATATTGGCAGTTTTTGTAACAAAAGGTGAGAACATGAAAACTGCCAGAATCGTTTTGAGACGCTATTAAAGGATCTTCCGCAATAGTGCACCATGCAGCAAGTACGAGCACTGTCGTGTGAACCCGGCCTCACATGTCATCTGCATTACAACATCATGCAGTACCGCACAGGATCTCAGCCCGGCCGATGGCGATGAACCTCAATCAAAAGAGAAAAGGAGATACATGTTCGATTGGAGTCAGATTCAAGCATCTCCCATATCGGACAAGGTCGCATCTGCAATCCTTCCGGAGCGTCAATCCAACGAACCAGAAGGAAGGAAAGAGATTTTTTGCCTGCCTGATCTTGCCACAGGGGACCGCCTTGACTGACACACCAACCAAATCGTTGCACAGCCGCACTGTTCCCCAACGGTTGTCGCCGCACTGTTTCAGCCACGCACGCACGCGCCCTCCGAGGACGGATGGGCTCCAACAGCGACGTCTCCCACCCAGGGGCTCCCGGTGGAGTCATGTTTATCCCCACGACCATGAGCCGAGCAAGCGAGCGAGCTCCGGAGTCCAGACACCGAGCGTCGCTAGAGGATGGTGATGCAACCAACCACTGAATTTGTCTTCCGCTCCGCATGCGGCCACTCCGGCGTGTTTGTGTGTGCTTCGCTGGCTCACACAAACCGCCTGTTCGTGGGTTGGTCCGGTTTGGTTTGGTTTGTCCTGCGAACTGAAAGATGATTGTTGGGCTATATGTGCTACGGTTCCCTCTGCTAACAACGTATATATTTTTTCGAATACGCACGAATGTGCGTATCATATATTATAGAAAAAAGGATGAAGAACCCTTCACAATTATACTCCCTCCGTTTCAAATTACTTGTCGCAGAAATGAATGTATCTAAAACTAAAATACATCTAAATACATCCATACCTGCGACAAGTAATTCGGAACGGAGAAAGTATTACAACGCGGATTACAAGGCGTTTCATCGGCGTCCACCTATGAGCTAATCGGACTACTCGCCGTTTGCCCACTCATGTGCCATCGTGAAGGTTGCCGCCAAATCTCCTCGCAGTACACCCGCCTGCATCCAAGCCTTACTTTCGCTCGCGATCCGGTCCAGAAGTCGTTTCTGCTAATGGATATGGCGTGTCGACTTGATAAAACAAGGTGCTACTAGGATCTTGATTATGTCGGCTAACAACGCTGAACGCGCCGGTTGATTCGACATCTATGACAAGTTCCTGAGACAACTCATGAGCAGATATTCAGTCATTCGGTGGTTTGGAGTGTTTTCCTTCCTGGTACAGTAGAAAAGAAGAGCATCTATATAAGACCTTCCTATATGTCATCGGACCCTTCCTATACTCCGGCAGGTGGCCTGGTCACGAAAATGTTACCTAACCGGACACTTCAAACCGACCATATATGTCCGAGCAGTTCGCCAGCTCCATATAGAACCCATTTGTGGGGTAAATATGAAAACGTCTAGACACGTCCTTCACATAGAAATCGGCCCACGCTGGTCCATCTCGACTACACAAATATGTGTTTCTATCTGCATCCCGTATCAAACTCTAGGCACTCCACTTTCAGACCGCTCAGCTCAACCCCCAAGCTTCTTTTTGGCAATTTTCGGCATGGCGGGCAGCGGACACGAACGGCGCGTGACCTTGCAAAGAATCAAACCCGGGCATTGTGCGCCCTCGCCGGTGTGCCCCCAAAGAGGGGGAGGAGGAGGTCGGTGACGGACAACTCCAACACCAGCAATGAGCAGATCCGACTCGATCCATATTACATTTTCAATTGCTGCTTCGACGACGAAGACTGCAGGAGAAAGAGCAAATGCAAGGGCGGCCTTGGGTGAACTTCCTCCCTCGCTATATAATTCATACCTAGTAGAATATGTCGATTTTTGGTAGTCCGACGACATGTATAAAGTCTCTCATGTTGTGTGTTGAGCTAGTAGATAAACTATGCATGTTATCTCAGCGTTGCATGAGATTGCATGGATTTGATTCTGTCGAGGTGTACGAGTTTAAGGTTTATTTCGGACTTCACTGCTAATGACGGAGACGGTTGGTGACGGGACATGCGAGGGGTGATCGGTCACCGTTTAGGGCTTCGGTTACATCCTCTAACGGCGCAGCGTAGTCCAGATGTACTCTAAGGGAATCGTGCCACTGTGATACGGCATACCGTACTGTCGGCACAACATGGAAAGCAGACACAAGCTGACTGACTGCTCGGGCTCAGAGACAGAAACCCTGTGGGTATTACCTGGACGGTGCAGTGCTTCTGCTCCCAACACTCATGCAGTGTCCGCGAACGGCGCCTCTCCAGTGGCATCATCGCCCTGCCTGCCCGGGGCCGGAGACGGAGCCGACCGGCTGCCAGGGGAGGGGCCGCCATCAATCGCCGGCCATGCCGGGTTTGTCTGTCAGGCGACGGACTTTCTCGCGTTCGGAATGATGCGACTGTGCCTGCTGTGGCATGCGGCGCGACCGGCGACGAGAAGACTTGCCCACAGGATCGAGCGTCGACACGGTGCCGCTCGTGTCTCTCGGCCGGTTCTCCGCACGTCCCCACGGCCATGTGGTCTTGGTTGGGCCTCTAGGCGTGCCCCAAGCGCCAACCTCAAGACCCCGACTCCTGGAACCCAGGCTGGTTGCAGTACAGTGCAGCGTGTGTGTACTGTGTGGACGGCCGCTGAGTGCCGCTCACTGACCAGTGCCGCGTGCAACGACCAATATTTTAAATAGCGGGCTATGGCATTTAGCGGCGACCCTTAAAAACAGCTATAGCTAGGCTATAGCGGAGCTATAGCGGCAAATTGTACATGAAATCATTTAGCGGCAACACCCTCAAACAGCTATAGCGAGGCTATAGCCGGCTATTTAAAACTATAACAACGACTGTCCTGACAAGGCAAAACATCTTTGCTTCGGTTCAAAAAAAGAACAAGGAAATTTGAACAGGCCAAATCCGCTGGACAGGGATCAGGTGACATGCACCTTTGCATGTCACCATGTGACTTGCGGCCCAAATTCATATTTAAACATTGTAAAAAATCTGAAAAAAATCATGCATGTTCATAGCACATATTAAGATAATTCTTAAAAAATCAGATCAAAATTCGAAACATACATCAAGAAGCAAAAAAGAAAAATCTGTTATGAATAGTTGTGAATGGTTCTCTGTATACTATTCATATATGAGTTTTTCTTTTTTGTTTCTTGGTGTATGTTTCGAATTTTGATCTGAATTTTTTAGGGATTATCTTAATATGTGCTATGAATATGCATGATTTTTTTCAGATTTTTTATAATGTTTAAATATAAATTTAGGCCGCAAGTCACACGGTGACATATAAAGATGCATGTCACCTAATCTCTGTCCAAATCCGCTGTGGAAGATGCATGGATCTGCCCAAGCCAGCACATTCAGGATAACTTCATTTCGCCCGACTTATTATTCGCGTGACCAGATGTGAACGATAAGACAATTTACCTCTCCTCATTTTTTCTCGTATATAATCATTTGCTGCTGGTTGTCTGTCCATCGTCCACACTGTGGGCCGTGCTACGTCAAGTATCGGTAGCACTCAAGTAGGCACAGCTTCACAGTCAAGTCCAAGGGTTCAGTTTACTCCCATCAAGTCAGAAAATCGTCGACTTTGCAACTTTCTTTCACATTTAACTGGTCTTTGACCTGTTTGACTCTAGTTTTATCCTAGTCAGCAGTGCCACATGCTATTTTTTTTCCAATCGGTCAAAACTAACAATCATGCTGGTAGACAAAAGCAGTGATGTTTATCCTTTTTGGACAACTAAGTGCTACTAGCTCTGTACACTAATATAATATAAGATGATTTTGCAGTTAAAGTTAAACCTTACATTAGTTTACAAAGCTAGTGTTCCCTCTCTCGTCTGTAAAGAAATATAAGAATGTTTAGATCACTATCTAAATGCTCTTATATTTCTTTACGGAGCAATCTTATTGAATAACAAGGGCTTTCCTGAATACTCAAAGTTTTAAGAAACTGCTCGAGTTTTGGCAAAAACTGGCTTACAAAGTCGCATTGATTGGTTGAAAGGCTTGAAAAAAACATAGTTTTGGGGGGATTATACCCAAGGATGACAATTTTAGCTGTGAAGCATTTCAATTTTCTGTTTGAATGACAAGTTTTAGTTTTCCGGGAGATTTTTTATGGCAATTTTAGTTGTAAAAAACGCTAGGGCGGTGTTACTTCGCGACACACATGTGCCACTTATCATTTGGGGGAATTTATTCATCGTTCGGCACAAGACAAGAATTTTTATTTCGTAACAATTAAGGTGGTAAGGAAATGGATTCCCGGAGGATCGGACTGGTCATAATCTTTTTTTTTATAAATCATAATCAGTTTCTTAAGTAGGAACAAGTGCTCGCTTTTTTGTTTTTTCTTTTGAGAAATCAATCATAATCAGTTTGTTAAGTAGGAACAAGTGGTCACAACCACCACACTCAAATCCCCAGCTTTCAACGCGTCAATGTGCGCACGAAGAAGCCCACACCGCCATTGATACGCCCAGTTGACTTCTGTCGGGGCCGAGAGCAACGGCGAACCAGATCGAAAACTGATCGATCTCGAGCTCGCCATTGCCGCAGCTCCCACGTGCTCCGAAGGTCTCGCTTGACAGCGGCACCGGTGGGGTTGTGCACCCGTCCGTGCCAC